GTTTGATGTAATTATCTTTAAATTGGCTGTTTGCATAGCTATTGGCACGTTCAAATTTGTGCATGTGCTGCCTAATTGCAGAATTGCATCAGTGTAGTGCTTTTTGGGTTTTGCTAGTGTGGACTGGTTGATTGCAGTATGTATTCTACCTGTCATAAGCATGCTGTTTGATTCAATCAGCCAACTGCTACAAGACATTGGCATTAAAATTCATGTGTAACCTACTATACTGTGTGGAAGGCAGAATCCACTTGTGTAACCACTATGTAGAGTAAAACAGCTTGCTTAGCCTGTTGAAATTTTTACATAGTGTTTCGGAGGTAACCTGAGGTAAACTGGGCACTTTTTGAAACTGCTCGGCCAGCCTGGCAGCATCTGTGAAGAAAAGAAATCAATTAACGTTTCAGATTCGGTGACCCTTCCTCAGAACTTCTTACTTTTTGAAACTGGTGGCTTCTGGCCTTTGATCAATAGGCAGAGAACAATAACCTGATCAGCACTGTTGTCCTGCTGGATAATGTTCAACAAGCTCAGTGTGTTGCAAAAGTTGAGTCCTGAGGTAGCAAAGGTGCAGAAGGCCACACTGGATCTGCTGTATGAGGGAGGCAAATTCATCAAGGTTTTCGTGAGTTAACAAATTATCTGAGCAGAGAAAATTTTTGTGGCTCCCAGGAAAAGGTGTTAGACACACATACATTCATGCTAGCTCTCAGCTGAAGCAACTATGTCATAGGCTGAAGTTGTCCTTCTGTGTTGTAACCATGCTACGATTCTATGACTTGCATGTTAAAAATCATATTTTTAACTGCTTTATATAGTGTGTGCTTAACTGTTTTATTTTCAAACCAAACTACTAAGATTGCAGCTGTAGAGTTGTTTACTCTGATGGTCTGACACCCCTCTGGGGGAGGGGACTGCATAGATGCAGTTTGAAGTAAAGGTTTCAGAGCGACTGATGAGTTGAATTGAATGAGTTGAATAGAGTTGCTACTCTATTTAATACTAGCAAATCTATTTTGTACACAAAGCATCAAAGAAAATTGTTACAGTACAGAAGACAGTCACTTACATGTCATGTCTGCACTGGTTAACTGAGCAACGTGAATTTATGCCATCCACATGCCCTTTCCCCACAGTCCTGTACATTATTTCTGTATATATAATTTACTATCCTTTTGAATGCCTCAATTAAACCTGCCTGTACCAACTTCCAAGTAGCGCATTGCAGACCTGAACTGTTCAGTGTTTTTTTTCTTGCATCACATTTACTATTTCAGCAAATTACTTAATATCTGTTTATTTAGTTCTTGATCTGTTTGAATAAAAAGTTTTTCTGTCTCTGTCCAGATACTCCTCAATTGTGAAGTCTTCAGACCAATCTCCTTAACTTGTAAGGAAAGTCATTCCTTCTCCAAACTATCTTCATAGGAACAGGAATAGCCCCTTTGGTTGATAGAATCTACCCTGCCATTTAATATGACTATGATTGATGAAACACTTCTGTGCCTTTTGCCTCTTAAAATTTCTTAGCTCTGGAACCATTCTTGTAAAAAAAAAGCCTAAATGGATAGTATTGAATGGAGCAGGTTGCATAGCCTCTGCTCTTCATGACCTTGCTGCCCACCCAGATCATCAATATCAACAGTGAACCATTGAACAATGTGGATTAATTGCCAAATCTTGGGAGCTTTCTTTAATCGAAGACAGGCATTGATGAAAAGTTTCAACATTGCCTCGTGTTCAAAGGCAACCTTCAGCCACGTGACCAGTTGACGACAACAAAGCCAAGCTGGTCACCAAGCTCATGATCTATAGGGCAGCAGTGTTTTCAGCCCTTCTGTATGACCGTAAATACAACACAACGTACACCAGGCACCTCAAATCCTTTGAAGTATTTCCACACTTGCCCCTGCAAAATGCTGCAAATCCGTAGGCAGGATAGTACTTCACTCTCTCACACAGGGCCTGAGGAAGGGTCGCTCGACCCGAAACATTAACTCTGATTTCTCTCCCAATATGTTGCCAGACCTGCTGAGCTTTTCCAGCAGTTTGTTTTTGTTTGATTTACAGCATCTGCAGTTCTCTTGGTTTTTATTTAGTACTTCTCTTAGGCCAACTCTTCCATTACGAAGGCAATTGTTGCTGTCGACCAGCTTCCAGGTGGTGCGTTCCAGACTCTGGTTCACTGTATGAAAAAGTTATTTTTTTCTTCTTGCGTCACATTAGCATTTCAGAAAATCACTTTAAACCCATACGCTTGATTTGTTCTTGGCAGCCCGTATCGCCCATGTGCCTGACACAAGACTTCCAAAACAAGGCCTGTACTCTGAGCTCTGAATGGCAAGTGGTTACTGGAAGAGCACAGGAAGCATATTGTCCCTTGAATTCTCCAAGAAAATGCATTAACACCACCGACTCTGGGGAGTCTCTAGCCTAATAGTGTCCAAATTGAAGAAGCGAAGAAGCTACCAATTTGTGACAAACACAGATGGAGAATAAGCATTGACAGCTGAAGGAACATTAGAAAATTCAAGCATCAAGCTGTCATATCTATGATAGATTAGTATTTGTCTATTTTAGTCACCTCGGAACCTCCACAGTGGATAGAAGAAAGGCATCATTGATCCCAAGGTAGTGTCTAAGTAGAATATTCTCTTATCTCATCATAGAATCCCTAATGTGTGGAAGCAGGCCATTCGGCCCATCAAGTCCACACTGCCCTTCCAAAGAGTGTCCCTGTATCTCCACATTTCCCATGGCCAGTCTACCTAGCCTGCATATCCCTGGACAACATGGGAAATTTAGCATGGCTAATCTACCCTAAGCCCCACATGTTTGGACAGTGGGAGGAAACCCATGCAGAAATGGAGAATGTGCAAACTCCACATACACAGTCGCCCAAGGCTGGATTTGAACCTGGGACCTTGGTGCTGTGAGGCAACAGTGCTAACCATATGCTGCCTGTGGAGAAGATTGAGAGATGTCTAGTCCCCAGTAATGGAAATGTCCTTCGGTCTGTTGGACAGACTGGCTAACTGTTAGCAATGACCACTGACTTCCTGTTAAGATGTTGAATTGCTGATTCAGCCACAGTGTTTCTTTATTGTGAAGAGATCAGAGTCCAAAAAGACTGGTCATGTTGATTGAAAACTCGTTAACCATGCAGTACAAAGGACTGCAATTGTTAGTTGTAAATAGTCAGTGAGGTTAACCAGTGGGTACAGTTTCTTGACATTATTGGAATACCTGAAATGTGCAAATGTGAAATTCTTGGAACTTAATAGTTAAAGCTGTTCAAATTTAAATCTAATTGAAGTTACCTTAACTTTTTAAAAAAAAAAAGGAGTTAGTTAAGTGGCTTATCGACCCTGCTCCACCATTTAGCTATTCAGTGGTTGTACTTGGGCTTCAACTCCACTGCTGTACCTAATCTCTATCTCTTGATTCCCTGACGGACCAAAAATCTGTTTCTTTTAGCCTTAAACTGTTCAATGATGGAATATCCCCAACTCTCTGGGATAGAGAGGGAGTGTCCACTTTTTTTTAAAAAAAACAAAAAATTGGTGGGATGTGAACCACAGTCTACCTGTCACCAGTTTTCTTATGGACCTTTAAAGTGAGTTATAGGACTGGAATGCCAGTCTGCCAGAATAAGGAAGGATATTGGTGAACCAGTTGGGTGTTTAGCACAGTCTAGTGGTTATTAGCAACTTTTTATTCTTGAAGTGCAAAGATGGAATTTTCTCCTCTTTTTAGATTGTTAGCCCTGGATTGCTCGTTAGAATCGCAACATGATCATACACACAGAATTTTTAAACAACTGTTCAGACATGCTATGGGAAGGCTTGAATGCAGGTCTTCTGACCCAGAGATAGGGACGCTGTCACAGGGCTGCAAGAGCCCCAACCATATCCCTATATAAAATGTTGAAACTAGCATGGATAATTGGTTTACCAACAACATGTTTTTGATTTTTTTGCAACAGGCAGCTATATTCCCATGTGTATCTAATGTACAAAACAGACCGAAAGGGACAAAAATGCAAAAGAACTGCAGACGTTGGAAACAAATTGCTGGAAAGTCTCGGGCCTGGCAGCGTCTGTGGGGAGGAATAAAAATTAATGTTTCCGGTCCAGTGACCATTGTCAGAACTCTTGAAGGAAAGTTGGTTGCTGTTCTGTCGCTAATTACTTGAAGAGCAGGATGGCAATCTGGAGTGGAATTCCATATCTTTCCGATAAATGTACTATAATTTGGAAGTGTGCACTTACAGATATTTAAATAATCAAATGCTTAACGGATCATGAAAATTCCTGGGTTGTTGTGAGGAATGGGCAAGGATCAGATTTCAGCCTATGATGAACAGTAGCAATACAGTGATGGGTAAATATCCTGTGGTTTTTGCCTTTATACTCCAACTTTCGAGTCTAAGAGTATTTATGAAGTTGTTCTTGACAAGGTTGAGTCCACTTTGCACACAGCAGTTTTTTTTTTGGAGTGAATAACCCTTGTTTAGTGTTCTATTTTATGTATTGGTTACATGAGGTTTTGCTTGCCTGCTCGGAAAGGTTAGCAGATCCTCCAGCTGCTTAACTGTGGTATCACATTAGGTTTCATCTGGTTTTCATTTCATATTCATACAGTGAAGATTTGTTTAAAACCTGGCAGGCCACCTTTATGTTGAGCATGCCATCAAAATGCAACACAGTTCATATCGATCAATAGAATTGAGTTTGCATATGACTCTGAAGGTATCATAGTTTGATTTTACTTGGTCAGTTAATTCTTGAAACTTTCAACGTTGAACCCTTTCTTGAAAGTTCCTTTCCAAGCTTTAAATAGTACTGGAAATGTGACAGCTCACAGCTGCTTGTGATTTTTGTTAATGGTATAAGATTACTTCGTACAGTCTCAAGTTGTATAAAAATTTGTTTGCTGTAGTTTTGCTTTGTGAAAGCTGGAGTTGACAGTACAATTACAGTTTAGTTTGCTTTTCAAAGGTTTGACTTCTGTCAGAATGAAACTGAGAAAAGACCTTCGGAAAATTTGGGACAAGTATTATTTGGAGAGAGGATTGAGTCATCACCATATAAGGTATTGCATTTGAGATTTTTTAAAATGTAATTGCTCATAATTGAACCATTCCACTTTTCATTGTAGACCAACCTATTTTAATTTTTATTAGCCAAAGGCTAATCTGAGGAAGGTATTTATACTGAGTTGTACTGGGTACACAGTATAGAAATAGGCCATTTTGGGCCAACTGGTCCATGTTTATGCTGCAGAGGAGACACTGCCTCCCTGATTCATTTCTGTCACTCGGCGCACTTTTGTACACATTTTCCTCCTTTTGTTTTCCCTGGCCTTAGATACCTGAGGCAATTGGGTCACAAATGAAAAATCAACTCTTTGACTTAGCTTTTGGTCAGTACTTCAGTTCTGAAATTTACATGAAAAGCTCGGAGTTGAATTTTTCTTTTTGATTATTCCTGTGAAGTACTTGGGATTTTATTTTATGTTGACCTTGTGGCAGAACAATATTTAAGTCTGAAATGAGAAGCAGCTAGGAGCGTATAAATGCAAATTATTAATTTGTACTTACCTTGGTGAAATCATTTTTGATGCATTCAGTTTTTAGTCTTGAATGTATATTGGCATATAAATAACAATAGGTTGATTGGCCTGTCAAACTTGCTCTGCTGTTTTGTTTTTACAACGGCTCTTCATAACCCTTAACTCAAATTTCAAACATGTACCTTCCTTCTCTTTAAATACTTTCAGTGGTTTAAATAGAGAATCTTAGGCATTTGGTACCCACTTGGGGAAGTAATTGCTTTACATCTCAGTTTTAAATGAATGTCCCCTTATTCTGTAACCATTTCTCCTAGGCTCAGGGTTCCCTGCTAGTAGAAATATCTTCTCAACATTTACACTGCAAAGTCCTCTCAAAATCTTATGTTTCAATAAGATCATCTCTCATTCTTCTAAACCCTAACAAATAAAGGCCTTGCTTGTCATTCTTGATAAGTCAACCTGTTTAACCCAAGAATTAGCCTAGTGAGCCTCTTTTGAACGGTCTCCAATGCCAGTCTATTCTTTTTAAAATATGGGCATCAAAACTTATCTGGAACTCCCAGGTGTGGCCTCGTCAACACCCTCTACAGTCGTACCAACACTTCCCTATTTGTAACTTACAACCTTCTAGAAATACTGCAGATTCTGTAGATCAAAAGCAAAAACAGAAATTGGTGGAAAAGTACAAGTCTGGCAGCACCTGCGGAGAGAAGCCAGAGTCAACGTTTCGGGATGTGTGACCCTGCCTTAGTTATGTGATTTCTGTCCACAGATGCTGTTATACCTGAGCTTTTCCAGCAATTTCTATTTTGGTGTTTTTTGTTGATTCGTCCTATCAAAGTGCATGACTTCACTTTGCTACATTAAACTCCAGCTGCGAAGTGCTGCCAACTCACTCAACCCAACTATATCCCCTCAGATTGTTTATGTCCTTGTTGCAACAAGCTGTCCCACCTAGTTTTTGGAAAATTAGGAAATTTAGCTATTTTATTCTCTGTCCTCCCAAGGCAGTTATAGATGTTAAATAAATGAGTCCTTTGGACTTATCCTTGTGGTACTTCACTAGTTGTCTTTTCAAACTGAGCCTCATTAATCCCCACTCGATCTTGTGTTTTAACCAATTCTCAGTCCATACTGATACATTGCTCCCACTACCATGAGCTCCTTTCATTTGCAATTTTTTTATGTGGGACCTTTTATCAAATGCTTTCTGGAAATGCATATGCATCTCCCTGTTGCCCCTTATCAACTCTGCTTGTTATATCCCATACAAACTCTAGCAAATTTGTCAAATGTGATTTCACTTTCACAAAACCATGTTGACTGGTTGCGTTAAGCTTCCCTAAATGGTCTGCTTTTTTTCCTTTAATATTGGACTCTTAGCACTTTGATAAAGTTAGGCTAACAGTTACCTGTTCAAAAAGGGACCGACAGAAAGCAGGTGTGTTGGCTAGTTTACCAATCATCTGCTGGAACCTTTTGTTTTACCAACAGCTCCAAGATTGCTGCAGCCTCTTCCTTTTAAATCAGTTGGAACCCAGCAATCAGGTTTTAGCGACTTGTCTGCCTTCAGTCCTATTAATTTGTTAAATATTTTGTTCCACGTGATAGAGACTTTCTTCCTGTCAGCACCTTGCTTATCTGATATATTTGGGATGCTTGCAGTCCTCCACCATGAATTTTTTTTCTCTCTGCTAGGTTTTTAGTCATCCGTTGCTAGATCCTTTAAAAAAAACAGTTTAATCCTCTGGCCTACTGCCCTTTTCCACTGCTTTGTTTTCCTAAATCTTTGTTTGGATACTCTTCTCAACTGCCTTTGTTAAGAATGGGTGATTAACTATTCTCATCCTCGTTTTAGACTTGAATAAATTCTTGCTCGTGTTTTGAAATATCTATTTCAATGTCTGCCACTGCTTATCAACTGACTTTTCCCTTGGTCTATTTTTCCAACTGAGCTTAGACAAGACTTTCTTCATATCCCTGTAATTGCCTATAATTGACATTGGTCTAGACCTGTGTTGCTATCTTTGTCAAACTGATTTTGAAATTCTACCATGGTGTTGTGATCGCTACATCTGAGAGGATTCTTAACTACAAGATCTCTTAATAATCCTACTTCATTTCTCATCACTAGATCTAAAATTGTGTTCCTTGGGTAAGTTCTACAATGTGCTGCTCTCAGGAGTTATTCCTGACTCTTTACAAATTTTTTTCATGTTCCCCTTGCTCAACTGATCCATCAAGATGCAAATTAAAGTCATCCATGATCCATGTAATGCCTCTCTCACGTGCCTTCATGATTTTCTGATTTATATTTTGCCCTATGATGAAGTAACTAATGGATGCCAATAGATGACTCCCAACTGGAATTTATTCCCCTTGCTATTCCTTATTTCCAATCCAATTGCATGTGCTACCATTCTGAAAGGGCTGCAAGAATCCAGAGCCCCATTCGTGTGGGTAAAGGGGTATCACCACCTGCACACTCAGGACAGACTCCCAACATCATTGCCCTCCAGTTAGAAAGAAGCCAGGTGATCTTGAGTGAAGCTGAATCACCATTCTTTAAAAGAGAGACACTGCAAACGTACCATTTAACTGACGTTTTAGTCTGTTGATCTTGACTTTCCCATTTTATAAGTTGGGATCCTCTTTCTTTTTCTTTCTCGCCCCCCTCTGCTTGAGCTGTCGGTCAATCAATACGCTGACTCCACAGGTTCTGAGTGTGCGTCTGTGCTCCCTTCAGTTTTTATGATTCATTTGTGTTCTGCTGGCAGTTAAATATTGCTGAAGATCTTTTATTTCTGGAGCTTTAGATAATCAGTGTCCCCCTAGTGTCTGATCTCTTTTCAGTTTTCCCAATTCATGCTTTATAGCGCTCTCCATCCTTCCACATTTTATTCCTAGTTGAATGTGATATTTTGCATAGCTTAGGAATGTGCACAGTTAACCTGAATTGTGAAATTCCTTTTCAACATGCTGCACTTGAAGTTTGTAGGTTTCTTTTACATTGAGTTCTCTTGGTCTTTTTCTTGTTCATACTACTTTGTACTGTTTTCCACTGAGGGTTTTTTTCATGCGTGCCTAGTCACTTGGTTGCTGATGGATTGCATTTTTCCTGACTTTTAATGATCAGTGAAAGAACATTTTTTTAAATGTGATAGTAGAAGCAATATTTTAGTTTAGTTAAGTTCAAAGTCCATTAGTGAGTTTTCGTTTATGCCACTTGTGTTTTATCTTTCTTTCACCATGAAGTGTGTAAGAAAATTGAAACAAATCATTTGATGTGCACAATGAATTAGCTGTCCCATCAATAATACACAAGATCACTGTGCTGTGAAATAGAGCCATAATACTGTGGCTCAGTGTGGAACAGGTGTGTCTATTGGTCAGAGGCTTGAAGTACACTGCACAGACTTAAGCAGAAAACCTAAGTGTCCATACCTGTCCATTCTGAGTCAACTGCATTGCAGTGGGTATAGATTCAGGTGAGGTTCAAACTGGGAAGGAAATTTTATCTTCCCTAATAGACTTCAAAAAATAATTTCATGTTTACCATTGCTGATCATGGCTTTTAATTCCAGATTTATTTGCTGAACTTCAATTCCCTAGCTGCTATGGTGGAATTTGAACTTTTCTCAATATCATTAGTCCAGAGCTCAGGATTACTAGTCTAGCAACATTTCCATTCTGCCAATAAACCCAGAATATTATGCATTACAAAATGTGAATAGCCCACGTTGAGACTTCCATAAAGTAGTATACCTTCCTGTGAAGGTACTTTCAAGTGACTTTGAATCATCCCGAGGTAGTGGCAGGTGTGATATGAATCAGTGCTTTGCAGCTAATGAAACACCATTGAAGCAATGACACTGTTGCAATATGACACATGTTCCAGCTGATTTGGGCAGAGCAAGCCCTCAAAAGCAGCAGTGAAATAACTTTCCCTTATCATTTATGCATCCTGTTAAAAGACTAACACACTTCTCTTCATGTCATATCGTTACATGTCTGAAATTTACTCCTGTTTCTCCACATCTCCCTCTATAGCTATCCTTTTCAGTAGGATGTAATTCATGCCTGGCAGCCAGCCTTCACCTACTGACAATTTCATCTGCTTCCGTGGCACCTGTTTCCATTCAGTGTAACCTTCTATGATATTGCAGACCGCACCATTGCTAAATTCTCAAGCCAAATGTTCAAAAATTAGGTTTGTGCATCTGTCAGTCCTTTAGAAAGCATCTTGTTTTTATTGTGAGCAGCAACATGGGAGAGTGATTTTATATTTTATAGAATTGCATGGGATTTCTTTGGTCTAACAGTCGGATGAAAATCATCAATTGATTATTGTTCAGCTGAAAGTGCACATTGCATTACAATGAAAAACATCAATGCTTCTGAGTTCTCCAGTTGTATGTAAGTTTGTTATACAATTACTGCATTGGAATCCACTTTTATTTTGTGATAAAGTGTGAATGTCTTAGCAGTTAGGTTCAGGAGCTAAAATAACCTTTACTTTCCCCCCCTTCCCTGAACAGTTCACGTTTAATGAACCTGAAGCATGTAAGCTTGTTTGCATGAAATCCTACAATCCAAAAGATAAGCCAAGTGCAGACAAGTTGTCTTTCATAAAGAAAGGAATTCTTCTGAATTACCAACACCATTGGTAAGTGCATAAAATAACATCAATGTTTCTCGCTCATGTTGCAGCTATTTCTTTGATCTTCATTTTTTGGTGGATTGTGGTCCAGTTATGACTTGGCCCAGAATTACCAAGTTAAGGAATTTTATGTGCAGGTCACTTAGCTCAACCAGTCTTCTAGTGTTTGCACATTGTTCCATTCAACTCATTTTTGCTTTACAACATTATGACAACAGTAAATTTATATTTATCTTGTGTTCTTCAGGACAGATAGAAAAATGCTAACTTTCAAAAGAACCACAATTTGAGATACATGTGAAACAGGGTGCTGTTAGTAAATAAACTGTGGTTGGTCATGGATAATTGTGGAGTTTTCTTTGCGGGGTGGCCAGTGTTTGTGGTCCATTGTTAATTGCCCTTGAGTGGCAAAGTAGGACACTTCAGAAGGCTGATGAGAGATAGGGATGGTAATTAGTGCATAAGTGAATGAAATGAGTTTTTACAGTGATAGTCATGGTTGCTATTGCTGATACGAGGTTTTTTATTAATAGTTTCAATTGCACCAGCTGTTGTGGAGGAATTTGAATCCATGTCCCCGGAACATTGAAACAAAAGTAGAAATTGCTGGAGAACCTCAGCAGTCTGGGAGCATCTTGGAGAGAAAGCAATGTCAATGTTTCTGGTCCAGTGCCCCTTCTTTAGAACTGAATATAGCTCTGAAAAGGTGGTATTTATGTTGAAGCCTGGGGTTTGGAGAGGGGAGCAGGGTGAAAGATAGGTGGCAAAGAAGTCCAGAGAGAGAGATCGCAACAGTTGGGCTGACAAAGGAATGGACAATGGATGTGCTGGGGAGAAAGAAAAGTCACTAATGGGGGTAATCAAATAATGAAAATGAGTTGGCTGTGATGAAAGCAGCCCATTTGATGACAGCACCTTGGCCTGGGACTCTGGATTATATATCCAGTCATGTTAGGACTGTGCTACCATAGAGTTGACTTGGACACTGACCTAAGTAGAATTGCAACATTCCCTGTGGTGGTCTTGACCAATCCAAGTCCACTTGCCTTTTTGAATTTAACAAACAGCTTGGGGTGACAGTTGCCTGGTGCATTGGTAATGGCTTTGCCATGGGGAAACTAGACTCGACTTGCCCAGCCAATCACTGCCTTGTTTGTCATGCAGTATAAATTTTTGTTCCAGCAGGTTTTTTTTAGCAATTCTTAGTCTTAGCAAACAACTAACATCTATGTGGAGCCTTCATATATATAGTGTGTGTATATAGAGCCTTATACAAGAAACTAGCATATATAGAACTTTCAATGTAATGTAATGAAATGCCCTTTAAAACAAGGTGTGCCATTGGGTCACAAAGGAGTTGAGGCCAGGTGACCAGTAGCTTGATCAAAGGGGTAGGTTTTAAAATTCCTTTGAAAGGAGGAAGACAAGGTAGAGAATCAGGTGTAGTGAACAAATTCCCAGCAGCTGAAGGCATGGTCACTAATGGTCAAGCAGTTGTGATTGGGAATGCTTTGTCAGAGTGTGACAATCTGAGAGTTGTGACGTTGTTGGATGTCAGGGATGGATAGGGCAAGGCTCCATGAGATTTCAAGACCTGGATGAGAATTTTAAAATCACGAACCTGCTTCTTGAGAAGTCGAGCTTGGTTAGCCAGCTTGGGGAATTTGGGGTGGAGGCTTGCTCTGAGTTAAGATGTGGACAGCAAACCTTCAGTTTATAGATTATAGAATGTGAGAATAGCCAGAAGGCTTCAGAAAAGAGAAGTAGGAGAAATGGAGTTATTGGTTGTTTTTAGCCATAGATGGGCTAATACCGAGTAGTGTTACAGACTCTGAAACAGACTGTCTTGACCCAATTGAGGTCAGATACTCATCTCAGGAACTCTTAGAATTATAGAGTCATACAGTATAGAAAAGAGTCTTTGGCCCATCAAGTTTGTATCATCAAAGCGACACTAAATTGGTTTGTCCCACTTTCCAGCACTTGGGCCTATAAACTTGAATGTGATGACATTTCAAGTGCTTATCCAAGTACTTCTAAATGTTGTGAGGTTACCTGCCTCAACTATCCTCCCAGGCCATATGTTGCAGACTCCTCCACCCTCTGCATATAAAAAAAATGTTGCCTTCATTCCTCAAACTCCTATCCTTCATCTAAATATTATGGCCCCTTGTAAGGGAGCCTTTTTTATTCACCCAGTCCATGTACCTCATCTTGTATGCGCCTATCAGGTCCACCCTCAACGATCTCTGCTCCAGTGAAAACCCAAGCTTATCCAGTGCGCCCTCCTAGATGAAACCTACTGTTCCAGGCAATGTCCTGGTGAATAGACTGGGAAGGCAATGACCTAGTGCTATTATTGCTGGTCTGTTAATCCAGATAATGTTCTGGGAACTTGGGTTCGAATCCCACAGTGGCAGATGGTGGAATTTGAATTCAATTTTTAAAAAAAAATCTGGAATTTAAACTCTAATGACCATGAATCCATTGTCGATTGTCAGGATAACCCATCTGGTTTACTAATGTCCTTTAGGGAAGGAAACTGCCCTCCTTAACCTGGTCTGGCCTACATGTGACTCCAGACCCACAGCAATGTGGTTGACTCTTAACTGCCCTCTGGGCAATTAGGGATGGGCAATAAATGTTGGCCTAGCCATTGATGCCCTCATCCTGTGAATAAATTTAAAAAAAAAAAAAAAAAAAATCTCCTCGGCAGTCTCGTCAGTGCAATCGCATCCTTCTTGGTGTGGAGACCAGAACTGAACACTGTACTCGAGCAGTGACTAACCAAAGTCCTGAGTAGCTCCAATATGGTCTCCTACTTTTATAAGACATGCCTCAACTGATGATGCATATGGGACACTTGCCTTTTAACTACGCTATTAACTTGCTCTGCCACCTTCTGTTTTCTCTCTAGATGCTGCTAGTTCTGTTGAGCAGTTGTTTCAGTTTCTGATAAACAGCCACTGCAGCTTGCTTTAAGTTTAAAAGTGGAAGCATATACTTTGGTTTTGTTTTGGGTAAACCTCAAATTCAATGTAAATTTTACAGCCGTGTTCTGTCTGGGTATGTCTGATCAAGGGGGAGGACCCACCCATAACTTCAGTTTTGAACTTTGCAGATGGCTCTATTTGCATGGCAGTTTGGTGACATCTCAATGTGAAAATCTGCTTCATTTTTGAGTGTTAAATTTTGATAATGCTGCATTGAAATTCCTGTTCTTTTCTATCTTGTGTAATTTGAAAAGCTACAGTATACTCTTGTCCATTTGTAGGATTATTGATAACATGCCTGTCACATGGTGTTATGATGTGGAAGATGGCCAAAAATTTTGTAATCCTGGATTTCCAATCGGATGCTTTGTTACTCAGGATGGCCGCCCAAAAGATGCTTGTGTCATCAATGTAAGTTGCCTTTCTCTAAGTAACTATTTGTATCCAAGTGCTGCCTCTATCATTTTTTAAGTTGTTAGTCAATTAAAATGTGACCCCTTATGCAGAATTACATAGAATTTGCAACGTAAAAATGTTACTGGCCCTTTGTTCATCTTTATGCTCCATATGAGCCAGTCCTCACCCTTCTCAACCTTTTCAAGGTACCTTTCTGTTCCTTTCTTCTTGCACTTGTCCAATTTTCCTAAGTGCATCCAAGACGTTCACTTTACCCACTTGTTTAAGTTTCATTCGCCATCTTCTGGATAAAATGCTTCTCTCTGAATTCCTTTTAGGATTCATTCCTGTATGACTGCTGTATATTTGCAACCTCCTTTACAGCTCTCCCACAAAGGGAAATATCACTTCTGCATTTCCCATGTTTTAAAAAAAAAAAATTAATTTTAAAGATTTCAGTCAGATCATTTGCTCTTTTTGGGAGATGGGAGACCTAGCCTGATCGGTCTGTCTTGGTAGCTGTATCTTCTCGGTTCTTTTAATTGCATTTTACTATTATAGTATTGGTTTTGCGTCCCTTATGAAAAGGACATGATAAATCTGTGCAGAACGACCCATGTGTGTTCTGAACAAAAACAAAGTTGCTGGAAAAGCTCAGCAGGTCTGGCAGCATCTGTGAAGGAGAAAACAGTTAACGTTTCAGGTCTGGTGACCCTTCCTCAGAACAGGTCTGACATAGTTAATGCAACTTGTCGGCTTTTTTCAATTTGTTCCTATTGAAATAAATCCCAGTACTTTTCAGAACTTCGTTGACTTGAGTTATTTTAAATGATTTATATTTTTTATCATTCGTGGGATGAGGGCTTTGCTGGGTAAGCAGCACTTATTGTCCATCCATAATTGCCCAGAGGGCAGTTCAGAGTCAACCACATTGCTGTGGGTCTGGAGTCACATGTAGGCCAGACCAGGTAAGGATGGCAGTTCCTTCCCTAAAGGACATTAGTGAGCCAGATGGGTTTTTCTGACAATAGACAATGGATTCACAGTCGTCATTAGATTCTTAATCCCTCATTTATTGAACTCAAATTCCATCATCTGTTTCAGCGGGATTTGAACCCGGCTCCCCAAAACATTATCTGCATCTCTGGATTAACAGTCCAGCGATAATACCACTAGGCCATTGCCAATGTGCTGTCAAATATTCAATTTTTTAAACGCGTATTTTTTTGAGGAATATCTGATATCTTTGATTTCAGTTAGAAATTTTGGGCCACTGTTTGATTTGGTTACTTTAAACTAGATTGAAGAAGTTGAGACTTCTTGGAGAGGAGAAAGTTGAGAGGACATTTGATAGAGGTTATCAAAATCATGGTGGGTTGGGTGAATAGATAGAAGCCGTTTCTGCTTGAAGTGAAAATGAGAAGGTATTGATTGAAAATGACATTAGGATGAAGCAAGGGTGAAGTGAGAACCTTTAATCATAGCAAGTGCTTAGCATCTGGAATGCACTGCCTGGAAATGCGGTGGAAGCAGTTTCAATGAGATATTCAAGAGGACACCAGATAATTCATTTGATAGAAATGATGTGCAGACATATAGGGAAAGGCAGGAGATTGGCACTGCAAGCACAATGACCAAAATGGCCACCGACACAGTAACAATTGTGTGACTGTATGTATTGACATTTTGGTATCTATTTCCACTTGCTAGAGTTACAATTGTCTCCAGATGTACACCTCTTAGCTTCAGAAACTAGTTCTGTCTTGGTTTTGGTTTTATTCATTTGTGGGCATCACTGGCAAGGTCAACATCATTACCAATGCCTCACTGTCTTTGAGGAGGTGGCAAACCACCTTCCACTGCTGCAGTCCATGGAGTATAGGTACACCCGAGAGAGTTCCAGTATTTTGAATCGGTGACCGAAGGAATGGCAATTGTGTTTCGAGTGCCGATGGAATGTGACTTGGAGGGGAACTGAAGATGGTGTTTCAATGCATCTGCTGCTGTTACCCTTTTTAGATGGTAGAAGTTGTGGGTCATGTGTTCCTTTTTCATTTAACTTCACCTCTGTGCTCAGTCCTGTCCCCCAAACTAAAAACAGCTGAACTCTTGTCTGCAATAAATGGATTCTAGAGCATGGTTCTTTATTTTTTAAGTACACCATGTGGAACTGGAGGAACAGAGCAGGCCAGGCAGCATCAGAGGAGCAGGAAAGCTGACGTTTCGGGTCGGGACCCTTGTTCCAAAATGGGGGAGGGAGAAGGGAGAAGGGAACTCTGAAATAAATAGGGAGGGGTGGGGCTGGGGAAGGTAGGTGGGTTGGTGATAGGTGAGTGCAGGTAGGTAGTCATGGGGATTGGTCAGTAACGTGGGAGGAGCGGGTAGGTAGGGGAGAAAATGGACAGGTTGTGTCAGGTCAAGGAGGTGGGGATGAGACAGTGTTGGTCATGGGATGAGGCTGGGCATGGGGAGATTTTTGAAGATGGTAAAGTCCACATTAAGACCATTGGGCTGTCAGCTCCAAGGTGGAAAATGAGGTGCTGCTCTTGCAGTTTGTGGGTGCTGTCATTGTGACACTGGAGGAGGCCCAGGATGGGCATGTCTCCCCTTCATCCCCCTCCACCCGCACATCAATGAATACCATTCGTGCTTGGATGTTGAACAGTTTTTTCCTCCGCACCTATTTCTTTAACAGCGAGTCTAACCCACCCTCCACAAGCCCCCACGCCCCTCCGCCCCCTGCCCCATCAAACCCGCGGACAAGGAAGGCGTAGTCGTGGTATGGCAATGACCTTTTACATCACCGAGGTCAGGCACCAACTCTCTGACACCACCTCCTACTGCCCCGTTGATCATGACCCCACCACCAAAATATCATCTCCCAGACTATCCATAACCTCATCACCTCAGGTGACCTCTCAACCACCGCCTCCAACCTCATCGTTACCCAATCCCATACTGCCCGTTTCTATCTCCTTCCCCAAAATCCACAAACCTGGCTGACCCATTGTCTCTGCCTGCTCCTGCCTCACTGAACTTATCTCTGCTTACCTCAACTCTATTCTCCGCCCCCCCCC